AGTAAGTCTATTCATGATGAAATGTCAAAGCATACTGAGCATCTTTCTCTTTGACACCATGTCTGAAATCCCACGTGATCTGTCAAATACTAATGCATGAAAATCCTAACCTCAAAAAAATCACCCGTTAGTAGTTGCAGTGAAAAGCGACGTGATATTTTGTGGTAAAAATTTGGTGCGCACAATTTGAACATCGCGCTGAGTGGNACGACTATAGACATTTGTGTATGTGTTGGTAGATCTGTGTGAGTGTGCGTATATTTGTAGGCGTGTGTGAGCTCCCGCATGACTTTCGTTTGATTGTACACATTGCCGCACATTATCAACCATTGTTTGGCAGTTTTCAGTTTTTCGCGGATTTTTTGTCGTTTGCATGCTCCTTTTGTTGGTATTTTTTGGCTTTTAACTTTTTGAATGAATTGCTTTTCAGCGCGCTTGGTGTCAGTGTTCAGCAGTTGATTTGCTTAATCGAATGACGGATTCATGACGACGCGGACGCACAACAAAAGGAATTTGCCAGTCGTTCGACAAAAATCAAAGCAACAAGAAGCGAGTGAATTGTGTGCATTTTTTTTTGTTTGATCGTAGTAGTTGCAGTGAAAAGCGACGTGATATTTTGTGGTAAAAATTTGGTGCGCACAATTTGAACATCGCGCTGAGTGGGAAAAGCGCGGAGATCAAAGGATGGACGTTTTTCCGTGTTTTTATTTTTATTTTTAGTATTTATGTGTGATTGTATATGCCTTCATGCATGTGACAATACTTTGATCTGACGACTTTGATATTTTGTTTATTTATTTTTTTTTATTTCTTGCTACCCCTTTACGTGGATAGCTAAAAGCGGCAAAAAAAGAACAAATACAAAAGTAAAGCAACGTACTTGGTATTCCATATGCAAGCGCCTTCATTCCAAAGCGCCAAAAATACCGCCCTGCTCTACACCCTTTCAAAGTTTGAAAATGTGGCAAGTTCACTTCCGCTTCCGTTTTGCAAATTTGCAACTCAACAGGTTTCCTTAACATACATTTTCTCACGTTTTGATAGCTGTGGCCACATACTTCAAAGCACATATGTACATATGTATGTATATACAAACACACACACACACACCCACATGCCTTGTCGCCGTTCGCATATGTTATTTACATACATACATACATATAAATGTATGTAAAATACAACCCTCACTTGTTATGCAAATGAAGTACGGAAATTCGCCTCATTTGCCAAATTGAAGTTCAAAGTTTATTCACGCCAATCGTTTAGCTCACACAAACCTTTATTGCATATACATATATGTATCTGTATGTATGTATGCGTCTTCTAATAGAAAAATGAATAATAAAAAAATGCAGCTAATTGTGTGAAATTTCAAAGCAAAGTGAACGTTGTAAATGTCTGTATTTTAGCCAAATTAAATAAAGAGTTTCGCGAAATTCTACGCAAAAATGCACATTTCAAGTGAAGTGAGTTCAACCACAAATCATCAACAGCCACTACCCGCTAATGGTGTTGCACCAACGACGAAACGCAATGCTAGTGCAAATAATACAAACAACAATAACAACAATAATAATAGTGTTAATAATAATAATAATGCGAATAGTAATAATAAAAAAACTGTGGACACAAGTCCATATCTAACACCTGAAAACCTAATTGAACGAACTGTTGATGTTTTGTTGGCCGAGCATCCAGGGGAGTTGGTGAAGACCGGCTCTCCACATGTGGTGAGTATTGATGCAGCAAGATGATAATGAATTAAACTGGATTAATTAGGGAGCACATATCTTTAGGAGGGAAATTAGTGGACATAGCTTAGATTTCGGAATGTGCAGGTATGACCATCCGTCCGGTTTTTTGCAGGACCATACTGTTATTCAAAGGTCTGTCCTGTGTAGTTTCTCAAACCAGAAAAATCTGAAAATGTACTGATTTTTTTGCCGGGTTTCTTTCATTTGTCCCGCATTTTCTTCGATATTATAAAATTAACGGCGGGAGCACTTTATCTATCAAAATATAAGCAGTGTCGATAACTGATTGATAACTTTATGAAGGTACGTGAGGCTGATTATGAAACTTCAACCAGTCAGTGTGTTCTAAATTTTTCGCGGTCGCGGACAGTGACTGGATGTTCTTTGGTACTTATCGGAGCTTATTTTTAATATTTCAAGAAAAAATCTCCCTGTCAACGTAAGTTCAAAAGGTATTGATGTGCCTCTTATAAACATATATAACTTGTGCCGATTTCTATGAAAATTATTAGTGCTCCAATCGACCAAAGTCGAATAAAGTAAGTTTTTCAATCAACTGCACAGTTTTACTTGATAATTTTTTCGTTATTTTAAAAATTCGATTTATAGAAGATGTGTCAGTACAGTAAATTTTGAGTCTATATACCATATACTACAAACGTTTTTGTTATTTTTATTCTACGTAAATGTAGGTATATTTTTGAAAAATTGTCCTGCATTTTCAATTCATATTTATGGTCACCTTAGGTATAACTGAAGCCCAGGCGGCGTTTGTCAAAAGCAAAAAAGCTTGTTTTAAGTGCATACATACTAGAGAGCTGCATGAATTCATTCAAACTTCTAGCCAAGCAGAGTACAGTTGATTTGATTATTGTACTTCACATACAAAACACTCAGCGTTTGGAATTTTGTAAGTTACGAATATACATTTTGTTTAAAATTTTCTACCTTCACATAAAAGAATGTGAATGAATGAATGAAAAACATTCAAATCATTCGAACTCATTTCGGTAAAAGTTTTTTTCTGGAAACAAGTGTGTTCGTATTGTAATAGGGCAGCAATACATATGTACATATGTGTCTGTATATACAACCATACATATGTACATAGAAAAAATATTTTTGGATATTCATAAAAAAAAATTTTCATTTATTTCAATTCAATTAATTTTCACTTTGTTTGAATATTGTAATGTCGACACATATGTAAATCACAACATGTATTCACTCAAACTCAAAAAAATGTTAAGCCAAAATCATTCATTCGTTTTTTTATATGAATAATTCATAAGCCGTTTTGAATGAATTCATGCAGCCCTCTAATACATAATAATAATAATAATAGATTGGCGCTTACACATATGTTAGTGTTTGGCCGAGCCTCTCATCCGACTTGTGGCGTGCGCCTTGATGTTGTCACACAAAGCGGAGGGACCTACAGTTTTACGCCGACTCCGATTGTATTTTTATGAGAAGCTGTTTTTCATGGTAGAAATACACTCGGAAGTTTGCCTTTGCCTGCCGAGGGATGACCGCTTTTAAGAAAAAACCTTATTCTTTATTTTTTGGGATGTTGCTTTGACCAGGGCTTGTACCCAGGTGCTGATGATTGAGTCTTTTAAATTGTTTTATATGCATGAACATACCTTTCTTAAGATAAATTCTCTGTATTAACGACCAATTAGTTTTTTTTTATTTTTATCATTGAACTGAACTGAAGAACAGTCCTATTTTAATGCAAAAAAGGACCTTTTTGTTGCTTGTTGAAAGCTTGAGATACTGCTGAGGAATGACGTTGAAGATTTAGGAAATACCTTAAACCTAAATTTTAACTGGGTATGTGAGGGTGTGAAAGGCCAGTTCATATAAGGCGGTGTTACAGAATTGTTAATTGAAAATGAATAAACAAATTATAAATTAGTGTTTAGTTTGGGTGCATTCCAAAACGCCAAAATACAAGCAAACAAATAATTTGCGCAACCTACTTGATAACTAGCATCTAGTCGTAGTTGCATACATTTGGCAATACAATCTACTGAGGTTTTAAAATAAAAGAGACTGATGCTTTGTATTTTGACGTTTTGGAATGCACCTTTTTTAGGTTTTTGTAAAAGTTCCTCTCATTAAATGATTTGATTTACAAAATTCAGCTCAACAAATAATTTCAATTACTTGGGAAATAGTTAGTTAATTTCTTACGACTCAGTGCATATCGAAGTCTGCTATAGTATTTTTACATAAACTTAACCCTTACTGCGTTTAACTTTAAGAAAGCAACGTTTAGGGATCCAACTGGTGATTTTTTGAAAACTATTCTTTTGCGTGAAAATAATTTTCTAAAATTCGCTCTACCACCAATTCTAGTCAAATTGACCACCTCAAATTGAGGTTAATAGAAAATTTCCTTGTTTGCAAAAAATTATTTAATTTTCTCATAATTTTCACAGGTATGCACAACGCTACCCACTCATTGGCGTTCGAATAAAACGCTACCAATTGCCTTTAAAGTACTCGCGCTGGGCGAGGTCATGGATGGTACGATTGTGACAATACGTGCGGGGAACGATGAAAACTTCTGTGCGGAGCTGCGGAATTGTACGGCCGTAATGAAAAATCAAGTGGCTAAATTCAATGATTTGCGCTTCGTTGGACGCAGCGGACGTGGTAAGATGGAGGGGAGAAGTGGGTTGATGGGAATTATTTGTGAACATTATTGTATGTACATATGAGGAAATTTATTTTTTATTTTTTTCAATTGTTCGAGTGTATGTATATGTATTGTTTATATACAGTGCCCGTTTGAAGTATGAAAATAAAAGTGCTGAGTGCGGCGACTTGTAATGCAAATTGGTCAATTCACGGATTTTTGAAAAAGTTGATCTTTGTGAAGAACTTATCATCTTTATAGTGGAATACAAATATGTATTTTGAAAATACTCTCCGTGCAAGTTATTGAGAGTTATGTTTTAAAGTATGAAAAATTAGAAAAAATAATTTCTTTCTAGCTACAAAAGATGGCGGTATGAAATATTTATACTTCATCACACAAAGAAAACAATTTGTCGTTATTATAAATAAAAGGTTTTGAATATATGTATATATTTTTTTGTGTTCTTTACGCTTCAATAAAAGGAAATTATGCGGCAATTGATTACCTTTAATAACGCTGTAGGGAAAATCTCAAATTTTGAAATGACACAAAAAATAAACGCCGATACGCGTGAACTTAATTGTTGGTCGTAGATTATGGATCTAAATATATACAGTTTTTCCAGATCAGGTAATTTTTTCCAAAAAAAAACAACCTACAAACGATGAAAACCGATGGATAAATAATGATGAATGGTCAAATGAAAATGTGCAATAATTTTTAGTATGAAAATATGAATGAAAATAATGTTACTCATACGCCACAACGTTCATGGCCTTACCTGTGCATACTCCTACATGGCGTATGAGTAACATTTCACATGTAAATTAACTTTTAACAATGCGAATTTCGTTGTAAGCTAACAATTTTTGTTGTTTGCAGTAACGATTGTGCGATTCACTAACTGTGCTGCCGCTAATGGGCACAAATTCGTTGCATATGCCAAGGCGCACGTATGAGCACAAAGTTCACAAGCATTTTATATGGAAGAAAATGCGCAACAGCCCGCACTTTATTATACCAAAATAAAATGGACTGCAAAACTGCAAAGCCGAAAATTTTATAAAGATTCTGAATATAGGGTATGAGTTAAAAGTTTATTTTAGTGAACTTTGTGCAAGCTTTGAAATTATTATTTATATGGTTTCTATATTATAAATGAAAATTATTAAAGACACATAAATACACATAAGTAGCAAACAATATAATGTTGAATTTTGCTGCTTTATTTTACTGAAAGCTATAAATAAAATGTTTACGAAAAACATTTAACATGAAAAACATTGTTAATATTTCAAAACAAATCACTGTATGCACATTTTGTAAATATCGTCACCCTTATGCCAGAAGCACGGATGTGCAAATTTATCAGCTTCGAAATTATTCGCTTGACTTGATTAATCTTTGGATGTTCTATGTTATACCAAAACGCCGAATACCATGCGTTCACGGAAACCACATATTTACAGTTTCTATTGCATTAATGTAGAGTTAAGTCTGGTAAAAAAACTTTCAAACTTGTTTTCCCAAAATTTTCTTTTCTACGCATTCACATGTTTCTGGCATACGGGCGACGATATGTAATTTTAATTTGCATGTATTGTCAAGACTGGTTTTATTATGCTACTATCATTATAATCCATGCATACTCAGTACCTGTAAAATTAAAAAAAAACAAGTAAGAAAGTCTAAGTTCGGGCGGAGCCGAA